TATGGTATGATAAGTGGTAAAGTATTAGATTTGGGATGATGTGATAATATACGACGATTAGTTAGTGTAGTATAATGTATTAAAATGTTTACTTCAAATAGACATGATGCTCTATAGGAATCTGTGGGACCGTTTCATGCTGTTTAGTGTGTAGAATGCCCTCTATGAGAAAATGTATCAGTAAAAGCCGGTAACCAATTCGCTCTTAACCAATAATAAAGAAGTCGAATTAACTGTTGTTGAATTAGGAAAAGCCGTAGCCAAAACATCACAAAACTTGCAACATTACAGAAGGAACTCCATTAAGACGAAGCCAACTTGTAACTTTAATCAACGAGGGAATTTAATGCCCACTTTGCATGGAAGTTCACCACCGGTTTGAAATGCCTAGATGTAGCAGCGTGTTGTCACTCAATCAATTGGCGTTTCTGTTTTTAAGTCAGATCTTTGTACCTACTTGAGACCGTCAAATAAGCGAGTTCAGTTACCTTCGTTTAGCTATCTGTTAGAAAATAGAAATTGAAATAGGGTGCGCATGCGCTTTTCTTTCATTTGTTGCTCGTGTTAACCTCTTCATATTTTTTGATACACAATTTGCAAGCCGCAAGAATGCTACTAGTGATCAGGATTCCTTTCGGCAACTTTAAAGTTACCATGCATGAGGTCATGCCCTGTCTAAGAGGATGTCCATAAGTTTTGTGGGCAAATGAAGCAGGGCGCAACGTCTCTTGTGAGAGTCCACTATGACTTCTTATGAGCAAGACAATAAAAAATATCAATGCGAGTGTAAGAATCGAGGGCCAAACTCCTAAAATTCATATGTCCCCCCCCCCCCCTTCGAAATTTTACCACGGAAATGACGATTTAAGATGTGAGACCGGTGTTCGATAAAGCCGAAAAATTCGGCTTTATCCATTTTCCCACTCAGCAGCGATTTGCTGCATAAAGCCGAATGGCTACATTTTATACGCTCGTGTATACCCTCTGTCGGAAAGTGCTATACCTTGGTAACA